AGAGAGAGAGAGAGATGATTTTTGTTGACTCAGTTTTAAGTTCAGTTCACAGGGGTGGTAAAGAAAAGTCACAGGCATGCTGCATTACTTAATGGAGATATTCCCATATTTGCCATTGTAATGCACATCTCTTATCGACATACGTGGCGCAAGGAAAACCTAGAGGTGGTGCTAGTTCCAGACCAGGAGTAAATGCTCCTACCAGCGGGATCTCCTTGGCAATTTTTTGAGTTCCAATCCCATTTCTTGTTTTTTGGACACTTGGAAAGTAACTTCTGTTCTTTATTTTCAGATGTACAGGGCTCTACCACCCATTTTATTATACATTACTTAGACCTGCCTTTTTTGGAAGCTGTAATGAGCACCCATACTGTGGGCTGCCCGATTCCTTTTGTGTAACTCTTTTACATTCAATACTAGTTAACCTCTCAAAAAACTAAAAAAAAAAAACAAAGCTTATAGCATATTTTGTCTAATTTTTACAAATTACTGCTTAACATACTCTAATTCTTTCATTACAACTTGTCATTAGATACAGAAGCAGGAATATTTTGATGCATATCCTGATCTGCCAAGAGTAAGATATGTAAATACAACAAACCAAGGATATTTGAAAATACTTGAAAGGCACATCCAATTAGCATATGTGCTGTGATGTTTGAACAGTCCAAGAAAAAAATGTAAACAAATTTATATGTACACAGAAAGTAGGATCCACAGAGCAGATTCAGTATTTTTGCTTTAGGAAAAATATAATCAAACACTCAAGGGATAAGGGTAAACAAGTTCATATGAACAGAGAAGATAGGGTCCAATTCCTAAAGGTGATAAACTTGTCCTGCATACATCACAAAGTCGCATAATCCAATACTTACGGAGGCTTAAGTCAACACTTGGATCACAATTGTATTGAGCTAGGTAATGCTTCAAAGCATAGAATGACCAACGCCCAAATTCTGGCATGGGAATCACAATTTGCACATCCTCAGATATCAATTGCTTGAAATCTTTATCAGGTGATGCAACCACAACTCGCAATCCCCTTCGTAGGGCTTGATCAACAAGCGTAGCCACCACATCGTCAGCTTCAGAACCATTAATTTTGATCACCTGTACATTCAACCAGACGTTAACGGAACTTTACTCAAGAATATCCAGCAAATAGAAGTCAGACCTCTTGAGTATATTTTTTACCTGATTTAATATGCGAGAACATGTGGCCATACATTTAGAATATACATGTCATAAGCTCATGTTCCAAGGCAATTGATTTCATAAACTTCAGAATAAACAATAAGTATCCCACAACATGATGTTGTATACATTGATTTTGGACAGGACAAAATTTCCTATCTACTACTTGTTCAAAGATGTTTGGAAATAATTTCCACAGTATCCTGCATTCTGGAAATAATCTTTGTGTAGCAAATTATATGGTCATATAATTTCATCATATTTGGCTCACCATGGTGCCATGCAATATTTACGAGCAGCTTTACAATGCAATTTTAGTATGTGAATCATCTTCTCAATTTATAGTAGACTATATTCACTTTATAGATTTGCAGTATAAAGCACTTGCATCAGTTCACACGAGGTAGTCAATCCACAACTAGTGACCCACCCAAATCAAATCAACTCATCAGGTGTACATATCAGCATGCCATAAAGCCAACATGCAAAGGCACCGCCAAAAATTTATCTCAGTCATGTCGAACCATAATATAACTTAGTGGACTCACCTTTGACTAAGTTGTCAACTCATTAAATAAGTTGGCTGACGCCCTCTGTGACACAGTTGACTCAGCAATAAACTCATGCAAGAAGCTAATGCATTATAATCAACATGTCAATACAGTTCTGGTTAAATCAAGTTTGATCACACGGTTTACAAACCATGTTCATCTTAGTGACTCGCCTTGTCAGTTCAAGTCCCAAATTCATAGACTATGTAGTGATCACATAAGCTAAGACAAAAGTTTGGACTTTTAGATCAATTAAAATGGTTAATGATATTTTCTTAAATGATACATTGTTTATGCATACATAATACTCTAAGGCAGCACTCAAATTTCTAAAATATTATTTGTCTAAAATAATGAGCCAGCAGCGGAAGAAAAAAGCGAACTTCACCTACTGGCACATTGCACATTTGAAGGAGATTCATGATACATGCTGCAACATAATGCGAGTCAGAATCAGTTGCTCGACCAGATCTTTGATATATTGACGATAAGCCGGAAAACTTCCTCCTATGTGCTTTATAGGATGGCAATATTTGTCTTCGGTAGTCATTCCCGTTTTCCCCATCAAGAACCTGAATATATGAATAACAACCAAGATAAATAGCAAGAAGCAACAATTATATCATACACAAACCACTACCAGGCTGGAAGAAGAAGGTAATAGAATAAAAGAATCCCTTTAGATCTGTTACAAACGATACTGCCAACCTCAATTGTATCAACTAAAAAGATATCATGTTCTGGAGATTATACTCACATTAGACAACTTCCAAACAGATAATGGAGATACACTTCTCATTTTGAACATCAGAAGTTCTTGAAAACCAAATCTTAGCTAGGAACCAACAATAGATACAAGACTAAGGCTGCATGTTGCTCCTTTCCTGTGATAATTGGTCCATATTTACTAACAAAATTCCAATAAATCATTAAATCTCAATTAACAAGATCACATCAAATGATGGACCAAGTTGGATCCCCAACTGGAATTTCTGAATGAGAAAATATTAAATAAATTTATATAATGTATGCTTTAGATGGACCTCTTTCTCTAGTTTAGAAAATGACATAGTTAGCAGCTCAAAACTGGTTTCCATATATTCGACACGTGAATTGCTGCGGTATAAGTAGGAACACGTGAATCAGCAATGTGAGTTGGGTCAATAAATGAACAACTCTATGTTCATGTTCAATGCATCAAATAGATAGCCTTCTCAGTATAGTGAATAATGCAATGAGTTATTGATGGAATGCAGTAATTAAATCAATTCAATTCTCTAGAAAACAAACTTCAAATTTGTTGATACTTAACATGAGGGAAACTGTAATGCTCACCTTTGAAACTCTTTCAAATAATCCTGCTCGAGCATTTCAATTATAGTGGACAGAATTGGAATAATATATCAAACTACCATCCATAGTATCTTGTTGACCAGATAGACATGACTAAACAGAATTCATGCTGAAATCAGGCACTCCACCAAAAGGACAACTCAAGTATATGCCATCAGCTCCATGAACATGCAACCTTACATCCTCAACTTGAGAGGTAGAGAAAGTGTTGGGGAATTGACTTCAGACCCAAGGGAAGAGAGAGAGAGAGAGAATCCCTTGAAGAGAGAAACCTAGAGAGAGAAGAGAGACTCTGGAGAGAGAGAGAGATTGAAGAGAGTAAGAGTAAAACCTTCTTGAAGAAGAAATCAAAAACCTTCTTGAAGAAGAAATCCAAAGAGAGAGAAATAGCCTCTTGGAGAGGTGTAGAAAGTTTTTGTGTGAGAGAAAGCCCCAAATCAGCCATATCTCTTCTCAATCTTATATCCTTTGTGTAAAGAGAAGGAGAAGAAGAGTGTATTTTGAGAGGGTAAGTGTTATTTTCTAATTGATCCTTGTAACTTTCATTGTTTTTAGTGGAATCCAGGTCCCGGGACTCGCCTCGGCCAAGTTACTCCCGACTTAAAAAATAAAAATAAAGAACAAAAACAATAGTATATATTCAATAACCTCTCATCTTATAACGTCAAATGCAAAATGGCTTATTGGGTAGCTATGCCGCTCTCTTGATATGCCTCTTTGCCCGATAGGTCATGGGTCACACCCTTTTTGGAATCGCTCGTTCTTTGATCTCCTCAAGAAAGGGTTGAGTTTAAAAAAATGAGGCAGTGCTTGTGAGGGGGCTCCAACCCCCAACATAATGGGAAGTAAGCATGCATGCTACCGACAAGCATTTTGAACGATTTTGAGTTGAAATAGACATATTATTGTATATAAGATCTACATACATGGTGTACAGCCAACTCAGCAGAAACTAGCCGTAACTTGTCCAAGTCCAAGTGGACTCAGCCAATCCTGGAACATAGAGTGGAGTTGATCGTCACTCTCCAAGGACAGAGCCCATAGGGTGAACCACGTTCAATCTTGTGTGTCCGGTGCCCTCAGCCCTTCAGTAGGCCTAGTTTTTCAAGGGTAAGTTTTGTTACTTGTCAACTTACAAAGAAATAGAACCAAAAAAAAAAAAGAAACAAAAATTATCAACTGCTAGGGACATATTTTATATTTTGGCAAAGGACAAGGTCATTTACATTAAGGGACAATAGCATTTTACATCTGCAACTTCTAAGTAAAAGGAAAATTGAAGTATGAGAAAACTATAACTATTTTATGTACAAGAAAGGGTTTGCTGCTTGAAAACAGCCCAATAGATTTGAGGGGCTAAAATTAACTTAAGGAGAACTTTACTCCCACAAATTCTGACCAAAGTGGAAAAACAGAAGAGGGAAAAATAAATAAAAACCTTTACTTTAACTGAAAAGGGCCCTTCCAGGGTCTTTTTCCATAGTAGCTTCTCTTTAGCAAACGTGAGTCAAAGAATGGACCAAAGAGTCTATGGAACGTTCTAGCCACCATTATGGTGGTGAAATGTGCCAGAATGCTACGGGAGACAGCAGACCATCTTCTAGGACCAGAATACTACATAATAGAAACAAAATTCAGCACTCCTAGTTTTTATAAAGGCCACAGGAAAGAAATATTGCCATTTCCTTTTTAAAGGCAATATTGCACAACACATGCAAGAAAATCTGAGCGAATGTAACAAGATAGGAAAGTACATAATGCATGTGTAATATATAGGAAAGTGCTGACCATGTAAAATGTACATTAGTTATATCCCTTTACTATTGTATCACCATTATATATACAATAAAAGAACCACCACAATTGTGTGGGGCTCAATTTTTCTTTCAAGATGTTCCTCTCTCTAAAATTTCATTTTGGTATCAGATCCTTGTATTTAAGCCTTCTATATGTAAGTCATCCTCTACCAGAAATTATCTCTACGCACTAACTGTTTAGCAATCCAATTTCTATGCACTCCTACTTTTCCTTCCACCATTGATCAGCCAACGAATTTATCAAAGCCTCTCTTCATTTTTCCATTATTCGTTAAAGCATGCTTTCATCTCTCCTGTATTCCTTAAACCCTTTCTTCACTTCTCCATAAATTGTTATATTATCCAGCTTCATCGTTTTTACTTGGTCAATGACCTTTTCACTCTAAGAAAATTTTTGTCTTATCCAACTCCATACTCTCATCTTCAAAGCATTCTCATTTTTTTATTTTTTACTTTTTGTCACTTCATTGTTTTCCACAACCCATCTAAACCTCAAATACCTCTTCTCCCAATGCACAACTCATCCTCATCAAACAAGTGGCCTATCCATCCACCCTTGATGTAGGAAATTTTGTGTCTATTAAATTTATACATAACAACTATTTGTTATGGGAAACCCAAATGCTTTTGCTGATTGAGAGTCAGGAACCTTTTTGGATTCATTAATGATGCTTTCACTATACCAAGTCAAAAGATTTGCTCTCCTGATGGTAAGAGCGAAATCAAAAAACCCAGATTACATATCATGGCTGAAGTCATAGCGGGTTCTTAAAGCTTGGATCACAGGGACATTATCAAAAGAGTGTCTCTATCTTGTTGTTGTTCTTAAGACTTTTGCAGAAGTATGGAAATGTCTGAAGAATGCCTATGTAGATAATTCTCAAACAAGGAGTGCTGGATTTTGTTTCTATTGCTACATGACCGAATGGAGTCCCATGACACAGGTAACGACTGAAAAAAATATGCTACATGACCCAAAGAAATTCCATGACACAAGAAAACCGTCCACAGAATGCTGTAACTGAAAAGTTGAGCAATACAACCAAATGAAATCCAATGACACAGAAAACTGTTGAAAGAATCATGTGACATATCAAGGCGGCCAATATCACCACTTGGAGAATGGTGCAAACTCTAAATCCATCTTTATCCTGAGAAAGGTCTTGACCTTCGGAGAATGGGGAATCAGGACTAAGACAGAATTGAAAGAGTTAGAAGCATCCATTTGCTCCTATATAAGATCGCAAGACAGCCTCTATCAAGGTCTTCTCTCCCAATAATCTGTAAAAGAACACGTTCCTGGTCCATGTTTTTGAGCAGTTCTTACCCAAGACAGGCCCCTTTGGTTTGATGATAAATGGCGGCCCACTTTAGGTGGCTACCAAGGGAAGCGATTCCTAAAGAGTAAATCACTCTAAATAGGGATCAGGGTAAATGATATCACCCACAATGAGGTAATTTCAGAAAGGCGTGAAGAGCAAAGCCATATGTATTTAGATGGGATTATCACCTAATCAATGACAAAAGATTGGCTGTGGAAGAATTAGCTCAATTGCCGGCCAGATTACAATAAGTAAAATGGTGAACATGTGCAAAGTGGTAATTAAAAGCAAAAGGCCTATGATGGCAGAAAACAAAAATGGGGCAAATGGTACACGCGAAAGCAGAAATTAAAAGATTCACAGAACTTGCAAATGAAATGTTACATAAAGTTTCCCAACAAAAGAAAGGTTAAACACTATAAAGGGCAGCAAGAGTAGTGATTGAAAAAAAGCTAATAGATCTTAAAGTCAAGTTCAACAATCTCCAATCAGGAATTGAGGTCAATCAGAAATTAAAACCATTCGCAAGAGAAACAACTTCGAGAAAATCAACGGGCCAACTATGCTCAACTTGGTATGGAATTCGATGCTCATAAGGAGGTTGTAAAAACCAAGTCTTTTCTGGATGAGGGAGAACAATATTTAAAAGGATTTGCGAAAAGAATAAAGCAACTTACAAAGTTGTAAAGATCATCGGATAAATTGGGTAGGTGAACGACCAGCTGAGGAAATTTATTTACGTCTTTATTAGTTTAACCGTCTATCCCAATATGGATTGGACCCTTTCATTTTATTTTTTTTTAATTTCCAATTCATTTTGAATATCCCTCTGAAGGGACCATTTCATTGCATTGGTTCTCGCCTAGCCATCTCACTACAGGATTGAAAGGCTGAAAGAGAATCATGATATCAAGACTGCTTTTCTAGTTGGTTATGTAAAAGATAAATTCACTAGCAGTCCTTTAATGCGTCTGTTCGGTCATGTATTGTTGGAAGAATGTTCCCTGCAGTTAGTCTGAAAAGAAAGTGTTTAGCATAACTACTAATGTAGAAAGAAAATCAAATTTTGGCTCACTATTT